AAAAAAAAAAAAAGAAAAGAAATAGGTGAATCGAAGTCTTCAAAATCAGTGTGTAGTTTACACTGACAGCATGTTTCGACTCGAATGGGCCACATGTTGAGTGCTTAGTAGCCACATTTGGCTTGTGGCTGCCGCATGGAGCAGGTCCAAGCTGCAAGGCTGTGTGGGTCAGGAGCTGTCTCTGCAGCCTCCTCCAGGTAAGATCTTGGCAAGGCTCCTCACCTCTCTAGCTCTGCTGCCTTGTAGTAAGATTAGTTTCATTTGAACAATGATAGCTTTATAATTCTCTTATCTCTCGACACTTAGTCTTAGGGATTTTTTCATTTATTATCCAGTCATCAGAACTTCTTCATAGATTCTAGATACAATGGGTAATTGCTCTGTAATATCATCTTCTTGCCTGTGTTGAATATTCAAACTTAAGTTTCTTTTGATGTTGAGATCACATTCCATTTCTTTATTTTAATTTTTCAAGAAGAAAGGGAAGGAATACAGAAGTCAAATAAGATACTCTAACTGCTAGTATTCGTTTTGTTGAAATAGCTTTAAAAGTGCAAATTGGACAATAAAATTATGAAACATTAGTGGAACCAAGAAAGAAATCTATGTTTCTAATTACATGATTTGCAGAAGTCATTAGGCATAAATATTCTTATAGGCATATAGAAAAACACGACTTGATGTGTCATTTCAAAAACAGAACTAAGACTACATTTTTTTTTTTTTTTTTTTTTTTTGGCTGCTGGCTGGTATGGGGATCTAAACCCTTGACCTTGGTGTCATAACACCGCGCTCTAACCAGCCGAGCTAATAGCCCTCAGACTACTTCTATACAGCATTTCCTAAGACACTTTCTCTCACACTGGAGGTACATCCGAGATGAGCCTTGACCAAAACCAAATGCAAAGGAAGGTGAAAAGAGGAATCCTTGGTTTCAAAAAAGGAAAGTGACAAAACATCCAAGTTAAGAAATATGACGAGATGCATCTCAGCACAGGCTGAGGTGACACACAGAAGACCTGCAGGGCCCCACACAGGAGGTCTGTGCTGGGAAGTTTCTGTGTGCTTCAGAGGAGAATGGAGGAAGGACTGGTGGCTCTGAGTTACAGCTAGAGCTCAGTTCCTTGGCCGTAATGTCACTGCCATCATCTGAGGATGGACAGACTATAAGGGTTGTAAATTCTGCAGGAGTTGGTTCCCAGCACTTAGAATCCACTGATGGTGTTCCTGAGCGGACGGGTGAAGGCACACTGTTGCCTTTGAAGAGATCTGCCCGCTCTTTCCTGGCTCACTGCACCCGATACTTTCCTGCACTGGGGACAGTAGGCTCAGGGAGGGGGCCCTTCTCCAACCGCACGGTGTAAAGCGTGATGGCTCTGAGATGGATTAGGGAGTGAACAAATAACCCACTCTGGTCTATGAGGCATAAAGGCAGGGCTGCGGGAAGGCTTCTGCAACTGTTCTCCTCCCCAGCAAAGAGAGGCGCTGGGGATGCAGTTCCTTGTCCTACCTCTCCAGAAGGTTGTGTGAGGGCCTGAACATTGAAGCAAAGGTCACCATTTTGCAGCCAAGAAAGGAAAGCCATGAGAGTCACAGGGAAACCAACCAGGGTCTGCCACCGAGTGCTCAAGAATAACGTCCCCTGCACCGTCTGCCCCGAGTCTCTTGTAATGTGGGATAAGAAACGTCTCATCTTGTTCGGGACATCGTATTGGTATTCTGTAATCCGAAGGCAAAGTCACTTGGTTATAAACACCCAGTGAGGCTACAGTGCCTGAGGTGTACCCCCACACCCCAGACTTCTCTATGGTTGGATGTGCTTCTAGGGTTAACTCTTGCAGGCCATAATCAGGGAGGAAGTGTGGTAGGGCTTTTGGCCAATGTGTATGGACTCAACACGCCCGGCTAGTTGCTGATTTAGATGTTTTCTACCCACCAGCCTGTTAACTGATCCAGTAAATTATGGCTCTGTTCCCACTTCTTCTCTAGAGCTTCAACTTCCTTTTAGGTGGCCCTGAAGTAACCTCTGTCCCTTGTGTGTGGTACCCTGATGCTTGGAAGGATGAGGTCTGCATTTGCCCTGCTCAGAAGTGGTCATCTGACCAAGGGCAACAGGATAACCTGGGGACTTGTCAAAAGTGCGGATGCCTCATTCACCCCCCTGTCCCCCACCAGGCCATCCAAGTGTCATGCCAGTGATCTGCCAGGTGCCTCTGATATGGGTTCAAGCTGAAAGCTCTGCCTTAACTCTGCCTGATCTCTCACTGGGCTCATGCATGAATAAGCACGATAGCACGTCCATTGCTCTACGGGTTACACTGGATTGAGGTGACACTCACCACCTGGGTTTCCTCCTGCCTCCTTGTCCTTCTTCCCAGCTCAAACCTGCCTGGGTCTGTCCCTTTGTCTGAGCCTACGGTTGGACTAGCCGCCTCACGGGTGAGCCCCTCGGGTGGAGTCTCTTGCTCTAGTCCCACCCTTCCCTTCTCAATGTTTCTCCCCAGGGCCCATAATCAAGTCAACTTAATCATGCCATCCCCAAATCCCCACTGAGCCAGTGTTCAATGACTGAAATCCTTTAGTTAATCATAAGAAACTCAGAGATTTTTTAATTGCTTAAAAGAAAAATTCTAGGCAAAAATGTAGAGAATGCTTGGAGCATGAGCTAGGTCGGAGGTGCACAACTGTCTTGGGAAATCAAGCTGCGTTGGATGTATCAGTCTGCTTTGCATTTTGTTCTGGAAAAAAAAACCTCTGTAGACAGGGAAAAAATTATATGCTGCCTATTTTTAAAATAAAGGGATTCAAAGATTCTGTGTCTTGCCCCAAGTCACATGGTGCCCATCTGAGTCCAGATTCCAGTTGTCCTACCTGTCCCAAGGGTCCAATTCAAGTGACATATCAGCTCTCCTTTGCCACCACATAGTGCAACAATGCAATGGTCTGGAAGCAATTTGGAGCAATCCAGAAGGCAATATTCTGAGTGTCCGAGGCACTGCACTGCCCTGGGGAAATTAAGCCCTGTCTGCCCTGGCATGTGATGCCTGCCGTTCTCCTTGAATGGGCTTTTTGCAGCAGCAGCAGCAGCAGCGGGAAAATGTAATCAGCTTTGCCCATTACTGAGTTCTATGAGCTTTTGTGTTCTTTTTAACTTACTAATAATAGGGAAATTAATGTAATTTTTAGAAGTTTTATTTCCTTTAAAAAGAGGCTGGTCTGTGCACCTAATTAAAACTGCTTTTCACCCTCTGAACAGGGTGTCAGATTTTGATTGGCAAAATCCCACAGGGCTTGGCCTCTCCTTGAAAATAGAGTTTATTTTGAGATTTTGAGTAGAAAGTGATGAGGGAAATAGCTCATCATCCTAAGTGGCACCTAAGAAAGAGCAAAGAGTTCTGTAGTCACCGGTGTAACAAAGACAAAGCAGTTATTTTTCTACTTAGCCAAAAGGAAATGCAAGGTGTCTTTGAAGGCTTCAGATCTGCTCCTAAGAACTGGAGACTCTGAAATCTTTAGTGGCTGATGGTATTTATTTGACTTCTTTGAACTGTCAAAGCACAAACTAGGTCACTGCAGGGCTCATTTTGTCTTGAGCTTTCAAAACCAATATATCCCCATGGCCAGTCTCCTTTGTGGCCCATGGCAGGCATTTTCCAGTTTCATCATATAAATAAACAAAACACTTCCATCTTAAAAAACTCTTGTTTGATCCTGTTTCACCAAATCTGCCCACCACTTCACCGTCAATGGACAGTTTCAAACCATAGCCTGTTTGTCCTCTCAGCAACATGTGACCCTCTTGACCACACCCTTCCTGAAATCCTTTTATTCTTTGGATTCCTTAACAATTCTTCTCCATGGTTGTCTTCAGCCTCATCTCTCCTGGTTCCAGACACACACACTTATCTCCCAGTGTTTGCTAGTCTCCAAATGTAAGCTGGTAGCCCACAGCTGGAAAAGAGAAGAGACTTGGGGGCTGGCCGGTTAGCTCACGTGGTTAGAGCGCAGCCTGATAACAGCAAGGTCATGGGTGCAGATCCCCGTACTGTCCAGCTCACAAAAAAAAGAGAAAAAAGAAAAGAGATGAGATGAGATCACAGGAATCAGGAATTATTTAACAAACCATTTTCTTTTTTTTTTTTTCCTTTTTGTCTTTTTTTGTGTCCGGCAACGGATCGCAACCCTCAGTGTCACGCCCGTACCGACCGGGACCGGCAATGGGATCGCAACCCTCAGTGTCGCGCCCGTACCAGACCAGGACCGGCAACGGGATCGCAACCCTCGGTGTTGTGCCCGCCCCTCGCTCAGCCAGTGAGCGGGAAGCGGTCTGTATGTGGGATCCGAACCCTCAGTGGGAGCGCCACCACGCTTCCCAAGCGGCGTACTGTAGCAGTGCGCCACCGGGCCACCCTAACAAACCATTTTCTGTTGTAAATCTATTCCACAGAATGATCTGAGATCGAGCCCTTGAAATGTGGCTAATGTGACTGAGGAAGTGAATGATTAATTTAATTTAATTTAAATTAACGGAAGTAGCCCCATGTGGCAAATAGCTGCCATATTGGACAGGGTAGTGTACAGTCTTGCTACACAAAGCATGGTCCACACACCAGCAGATTGTGCATCACCCGGGTGCTAGTTAGAAATGCCGAATCTCAGGCCCCACCCCAGACCTACTGATTCAGAATCTACGTCTTAACAAGATCACCACACGATATTGTAAGCACAATAACATTTGAAAAATATTGCTCTAGAAGGCTGATTTTTAAAGCACTACAGTGAAAGATGCATGTGTACTTCCTAGCACAGCTTCTGGATATTATACCCTGAAGAAGGTGCATTCTGTGAATTTTTAACCAAGTCCTCTTTGTCACATTAATCAGTTACACTGTTGATCATATCTTGATTGAAGTCCCTCTGGATATCGAACTTCTAAGGTAATTATCATTTCAGAAAACAGTTGAATTTAGCCTCTTGATCTGAGCCACATCTCATTCTTCAGTCTTGTGTGTATCATGTGTTAGTAAAACCACCGGTTCTTTTCCTGTGCTCTGAGGACATAGTGTCCTGTTTTTCATAAACAAGTGGAATAAAGAAGAGAAAAAAATTAAACCACGTTATACAGTAACCTCCAAAGAGGTAACCTGCTTTTTCTATTCTGAAATCAGAGTGGTACCTTAAGGCACAAGAGATGATT